TTGATGAAGTCGTGTGAGCCTCTCCCATGCACGCTTGGCACTGTCGGGATGACTCGCGCACGTGAGTAATGACTTGGCATATTGATCTTGGACGGAGTTGAGGAGGTAGAGGTAGGCTTCGGCATTCTTCTTGATCCACGCGGTTTGCTCTGTGGGAGGGGCTTCGGAGGAAGGAGGAGAGAGAGAACCGGAGTAAATGGGCCACCACTCTAGGAGAGTGGAGGCCAATTGGAAACGAATTCGCCACGCTTGGAAGTCCTTTCCATTGAACCGTGGCACTTCTAGCTTGGGGGTTAGAGAAGAGGGGGTAGACATTTGGGTGTAAATAGGAGAGGGGAGAGTAGGAGATGATGAGGTGTCTTTTCCTCCTGTGTTGCCGCTTACTTCGGAGGAGCTTGATTCTCCTTGCGAAGTGGCACTCTTTGACTTTGAGCCCTTAGGGGTGGGAGTCATGGAGAATGACAAGAGAGAAGGTTCTTTCTTGAGGGGATTTTTAGCGAAAGCGAGGAAGTAAACGCTCTGATACCAGTAGTAAATTGAGATAAGGATAAAAGAGTATGATTGCACAATAGAATAAGACAAGAGTAAACAGTGGAATTGTAGTAAATGAGGATGAGCTTGATAGAAGAGAAGATGATACTTAGAACTTGGGACTATAAAGAGAAACTTGTGTAAGGTGGAATGCTTGATGAGATAAAAAACACAAAAATGGAGAAAGAGAGTATGAGCTTGTTGAGAGAATAAGAGAGGGGATAGGCACTTACTTAAATGAATCTTACTAGGGATAGTTGTAGAGGTGACTTGTAGGAATGGCTTGGTCTTGAGAGCTTTCCTTGAAGAAGAACATCAAGCTTGGTGTTGGGTGATGATCCTTCCTCAAGCTTGTAGGAAGTAATGAACCTTATACTCAAGTAGAGTATGAGGTGATTACTCTTCACTTGATGCTTAACTTTGTAGACTAATGAGAGACACTTTGTGAGCATAAACTTATATTGAAAGAGGTATAGTACAAGCCTTATAGATCCATGAGGGATACATAGGCATGCATAGAGAGAGTAACCATCAATGGTAGCCTTGGAAGAGAGTTGCATGAGAGTATCAACTTTTGGAGACATAGAACTTGGTTGCTAGTGAGGAGCCTTTGTAGTAGAAGAGGAGCTTGAAGGAGAAGCTTGGAAATGAGCTTGGTGAAGAAGCTTGGAATGCATTGTTGTCATTGAAGAACCTTCTTGAGAAGTTGTAGAGATGCTTGATGTAGATGAATAGTATTGGAGCATGTGATGGTGGTTGAGCACTTGATGAGTTGGAGATGTAAGCCTTGTTGAGTTGGAAGAGAGCTTAGTGAGTTGGATAAGGATGAGTGGAGGAGATGATGAGTTTTGTTCCCTTGTAATAGGAGGTGATGGGATAATCATGAAGTCCTTAGGGATGAGGTGGCAACTTTGGTGACTTGGGAAAGGAATGATGGAAGGAATAAATGAGAGGCATGTGGAGGTTGATGACTAGGAAGTGGAAGCATGTGCTTGAAGGCACATGGGAGGAGGATAATTGGAGGAGGTAGATGACTTGGGTAAACTTTGATGAGTAGGAAAGGAAAACACATGGAAAATCATGAGGAGTCATGTGCCTTATGGTGGGACTTGAGGATAAGTATGGGAAGTTGGTTTGAATATTGGTTGAGTTGGACTAGGAAAGTCTATGGTGGTTGGGAGTAATTAAAGAGGTGGTTGATAGGCTTGAGTTGGAGAGGATGAGTTGGAAAAAAAGGAGTTTGTAACTTGAGTGGTTGGAATAGGCTTTGGAAGAGTTGAGTGGTTTGGATGGGCTCTTAGGAAAATGTGTCGAGGGTGTTTTGAGGGGAAGGGGTTGGAGTGGCACAGTAGCGTGGCACGTGAAGAGCGTGCCATTCACAACAACATTCGCTCATTGTACGTATTTGTGTTCGAACTCATTAGGGATACTATTCGTACAGTCAAACTGATACGTCTGTTCGGATTTTGGCCTTCCTCCCCTCAGGTGAAGCGCCCTAACGGGGTGGGAGCTGGGCCATCAGGTACTACCTTCGAGCACCATCGAAGTCCTCGCCCACCTGCACAAGGCTGTCCAGCACCTGCTCTCTACCCACGTCACTCCGGAAATCATAGCCGTGCTAAGCCCATCTCGACTGGTTGCGTTTAGCAAACCAGGGGGAGGGTTAAGACCCATTGCCATCGGCGAAACCATATTGCGCATAGAGGCCAAGGCAGTTTTGGCGGAGCTACAAGGAGATATTCAACGGTTCTTCCTCCCCACCCAGTTCGGCGTAGCGGTGCCAGGCGGCTTAGAGGCCGTTATCCACGCCGTCCGTTGCCTAGCAGCAGCCCACTCGAACGACCTAGTCATCCAGCTCGACGTGGAAAATGCGTTTAACACCATCGAGCGCGAGTCTTTCTTCAACGCCCTAAGAGATACCCCCCTCGCCCAGCTCATTCCACTCACTCGTTCGCTGTATGCAACACCGACGAAGCTGCTCCTCGGCGCAGAATTTGCTTCACCGCCTCTGATCAGCAGCAGAGGGGTCCGCCAAGGGGACCCCCTGGGCCCCCTACTCTTCGCGGCTGCCATTCAGGGCCATCTCCGCGACACAGCCGCGGCGTTCCCCAGCCTGACAGTGCTGGCCTACGCGGATGATGTCACGCTCTTGGGCCCACCCGCGGTGGCTTCGGCGGCCTTCATCGACCTTACCGAGCGTCTCGGCCGAAGTGGCCTTCAATGCAACAAGGACAAATCAGGCGCCTGGTCCCCCGAACCGCCAGCTAGCGTCTCCCTGCCACCAGGCATGACCCTAACAGACGGCAGCATAGTGGTGTTTGGGAGCCCCATCGGCACACGCCCCTTCTGTGCCGACAAGATCAGGGCCACGCTTCTGGACCACCTCCCCGCTCCGGCCCCTCACGCGCCTTCACCCACAGCATACCCTCCTGCTCCTCTCCCGCTGCGTCAGCAAACGCATCACCTTCCTGCTACGCACGACACCTGTAGACTCTCTACCGCTACCGGAATGGGCGGAGTGGGGCAAGCAACTGCTGTTTACTGCCCTGGCATCGGCTAGACAGTACCCCCCACGACGCTCCTCCGAGCTCGACCTCCTCTGCAGGCAGGCCTCCCTGCCCGTGAGCCCCGAAGGACTTGGCCTCACTGACCCCACCTCCGAATCCGGCCCAGCCTACCTGGCCTCAACGACAGAGATTCGCCATCTCTTGCTGTCTCTCAACCTGCCTCAAACGAACCAACTTGCCCATGCTGCCGACCTGCTGCTCCCAACCACATCGCCTCCAAACACCATCTTTGACCTCGAGGCCTGACTGCCGGAGAAAGCCCGTGCTATCCTGATGGAGGAACGCTCCAGCCGCAGCTGCGATCGCTTCCAGAGCATTTTGTCGGACGAGGTCCAAGCAAGCAGGGCGGATGCGCTCCTGGCGGACTTCCGCACGGTTAAATCTTCCCCGGAGCTGGGCCACGCCCTGCGACTCATCAGCCTGAGGGGGGAGGGGGCAGGGGAGTGGCTGCAAGCGATCCCCTTCACACCGGACCTCACTTTCTCACCAGGACAATTTGGGACGGCCCTGGCTTTACGCCTGGGCCTCAGGATGAACGTGCCGACGGTATGCTCCTGTGGAGAACTCGTCCCTGACTGCTGCCTCCCTAACCAGGGAACTCTGTGCAGCAAAGGACCAGACAGGATCCGCACCCACAACCAACTGGCGTTTGCACTCGCCAAAATGGCTCGGGAGGCGTAGTTGGTGGTGTATTTGGAAAATGCCATGTACTCACCGCCCGATGACCCCAAGAAGGCGGACGTCATCGTCCGGAATCCGGAATCGGGTGAAACCTGGATCACCGATGCTACCATCACTGACCCCGTGCTTCTGAATAGGGACCCTACAGCCCGAAAACCACCAGGATGGGCAGCACGGGAGGCCGCTCGGTGCAAGGACAGCGAGTACTACCGCCACACTGAGCACGTGGGCTTTTTCGCCCTGGCAGTGGAGACCTATGGAGCCCAAGCCCCGTCCACCGCGGCCTTCCTCAAGCTGCTCTCGACCGCAGCGGCCCGGAACCGTTTCCGCGCCAACCCCCTGGCCAAGACGGCGAAGAAGGTGGCAGCCCACTTCCGGCAGCGCTGGGCAGTCATGCTCCAGCGCAGCCAAGCGAACGCCTTACACACAAAGGCGCGGGCGGGCATTGAAGCAGCACACCCGCAGGCTCCGGCAGACCCCTGGCCCCTGCAGCTAGGGGACCTCCTCCACACCCTGGAGTAAGGGGAGGTGCTAGGGGGCGGGTAGATGTAGAGAGGTATATTTGCATATTCAGCCTTCTGCTTTCCGTTGACCGTACTGCTTGTACCAATCACCGCATTGATACAAAGGACCGTTCGAAGAGGGTAGAAAGCCATAGGGTGTTCAGGGTAGGGTTGAGAGGAGTGAAAAAGGGTTGGAACAGTGACGAGGGATCCACAACAAACATGCGCTTCAATGGTTGGCCACTTTGAGCCAGACAACTCCTCACAACCCTGCATGAACCCGTTCCCACACACTCCCGCTCGCCTCCCTCTCCCACCACCTCCCACCCTCCTCAGCCTCCTCTCTCTCCCTGTCACCGCATATGCAAGGGATGCATATGCAATAACAGTAGAGTCAGTAGCAAAGTGTCGATTGCAAAGGGGTGCAGAAAGGGGGAAATATGTGGGAGCGGTTGCGATGAAGGGGGAAAAGCACCGAAGGGTGAAATGTGGGATTCGAACAAATCCCAACCTTGAGCCGCACATTGGAAATGTGCAAGCCGAGGTTGGGTAAGGTCACCCACGCCCACTCACTTGATGCCTATTGTTCAGTATTCTTTCATACTAGTGCAGGGCTGTTATCCTAGCTACTACACGCGGTGGCACAGCACTAAGAAGGAACCGGTGGGGTGAGGGAGTGATCACGTTCATACTGAACAATAGGCCGCGACACGCAGTCATGGATAAATATGAGCTACGTTGGGGTAGGGTGTTTAGTCGCCGGGAGGAGGAACGAGCACGAGGTGAGCCGTCACGCGAGCGCGGGCAATCTCTGGAGCGCTCGCCGCGAAGGCCGGCATTTCGCGCAGATAGAGTCCCTGTCGCTGGGGACCGACGGGCGGAAGAGAGGCCTAGCGTGGCAGCGAGTGGAGAAGGATACGCCGCAAGCGCGGACGGAGACGTGTGGCGAAGAGGGCATGATCGCGGAGATGGATACGGGAGCGGAGACCGACGCGCTGTGGGAGTGTTCCGCTCGCCGGAAGAGCGCGGGCGCCGCCGTGATGAGAGGGGCTGTTGGCAGGGCGTCGAGCAATTCGACGCCAACCAAGGAGGGGAGGCCGCAGAAAAGGAAGCGTGGGAGACGTCCGGCGAGGAAGAGGCAGAGGAGGACGCAGCGAACCTGGAACAGGCGGTCGAAGACGCCAACGGAGAAGATGACGGCGAGGAACCCGCGGCTGGGCTCGGAAGCGCCAAGCCTGAAGAGGCGGACGTTGCCGGGGGCGCAAGCCAGGCAGGGGCGGAAGGATCGCGGTCGGGACGGTCGGAATCACGCGGCCGCGACGCAAGCCGCCAGGAGGAGCATTACGCGGAGAGGTCGCGTCGGCAGGAGCGGCGGGACTGGGGCGTGCATGCCGGCGCTGTGGGGACGCAAGGAGAACGCGGCAAAAGGGAGGAAGAGGGACCGCGCGCGTCAAGGGAAGGATCGCGGCGCTGGGAGCGGCCTTCTGTTAACCCTCGCGCACTCGAGTGGCGCCAGGCACAAGGGGGCTGGGGCGAAGACGGCGCACGATCGCCGGACAGGCAGCTGATGCACAAGGGAGGATGGGAGGGCGAGCCACGCGCAGCCAGCCACCACTGGCGGCGGGAAGAAGGACGCGAGGAGGGGCCCAGCTCATCAGAGAGGCGCGGCCAGCGGCAAGAGGGGCGCGGCGGGGAGGCACGGACGTGTGGCCCGCAAGCGCAATGGGAGAGGAGGGTGAGCGGCGGATTCCGCTCGCCTCTCGTCCGGCAGCAGCGGGGAAGAGAAGGCGGCGGAGACAGGCGCTCGCCCGGAGATCGTCAGCAGCAAGGAAGGGGAGAAGCATGGGAACCGTCGCCAGAGAGGCAGCGGCAGCGAGAGACGAGCACGGCGAGGTGGAGAGAGACACGAGTCTCGCCGGCACGAACGCGAGGGCGTGCGGGGGAGGAGAGGGGCCCGAGAGAAAGGCACGGTGACTCGGGCTGGAACCGGCGGGAGAGCAGAGCTGGAGGGGGGAGCTTAGCGTATGGCGCTGAGCGGGCCCGAGAGGCCAGGGAAGGCATGGAGAGGGCCAAGGAGAGAAGGACTGGGGAAGAGCGGCTGGGAGGGGCCAGGGAATCGTGGGGAGAAGGGCGGGGAAGTACAGCCAGCGTGACGCGGGTGGAAGTGCCGGCGAGGTTCTCGGGGGACCAACGGGTGGGGCCGGCCCTCAAGAATTACTTGATGCAGGTGGGGAACGTGAGATACCGCTGTGACAGGCAAGGCATGGACCCTGTAGACTTCTTCTTGAGCCTGCCCAACACACTGGAGGGAGAGGCGGAGACCCTGTACCGCATGAGGATGGACGAGCTGCTGTGGAGGGCAGGGAGGTACGGGGAGGATCCCACCGAGGCATTTCTGGAGCGGCTTCAGCGTCAATTCCCGGGACACACGGCGGAGCGCATAAGGGAGTTTGAGGAGTTCAGGAGGGGACGAACAGAATCCCTACTGACCTACTACAACCGACTGATAAACTTGGCGGAGGATGTGAAATGTTCGGACAGCAGCCTCCTCATCAGTAAGTTTCTTGGAGGCCTGGACGAAACACTGGGGGGGGGACTGAGGATGAGGGTGTACGAGTTGGGGGCGGATGCGGCACTAGAGGAGGTGTTTGACCTGGCGGAAAGGGTGGAGCTGGCACAAAGGAGGTATGAGGCCTACCTGCCGAGGCCGACAGAGAGGAGCCGCAGACCGACATGGGCGGCGGCTATGATACCAGAGGAGCGAGGGAGGGTGGACCCACACGGGGAAGAGAGAGCCGACGCGCGCACCTGCTACCGGTGTGGACAGATGGGGCACCTCCGCAGAGAGTGCAAAAACTGTGATGGATGTGGGAAGCCTGGGCACCGAAAACGAGAATGTCGGGATGCGGCGAAGTGTGAAATCTGCGGGAAGAAGGGGCACGAGGCCAAGGAGTGTTACCAGCGGGAGGGAGGGGCAAGGAGGAAACCAGAGGAGCTGCAGCGGCAGATCAGCAGGCTGCAGTCTCAACCGCAGGCCATGGGGTCAGGGTGGGGAGCGGAGGCGGGGATGTACGCTAGGGACAAGGAGGGAGAAGGGGTGGAGCCGGACGTGCAGTGTGTCCTCATGGCCTGGAGAGGTAGGGAACAGATGGGGCTGCGTAGCGGGGGGAAGGATGGCAGGCAGGAGCATAGCCGGAAGCCACGTGAGCAGGGGTCCAAGCCGGACGCGCCAGGAGGAGAGAAGACCCCAGCCCGCCACCCGCAGGAAAGACTCGCGTGCCAGACCTCGGTGCTGCTCGTGGAAGCAGGAGCGGTGGAAGTGGGGGGGATGAAGGTAAAGACGGCGATCATTGACACAGGAGCACAGAGCGTGATGCTGGGTAAGGGGATGGCCGAACGGTTGGGGCTGATGGCCCCTGAGAGGCACGTGGCGAAGGGGATGTTAGTCATGACAGCAGAGGGAGGGGAACCAAAGTGGATGCCGTGCACACGGACCCCCATAGAGTTGACACTGCTGCCAGGAGGGGAGCATGAAACAAGGATCAGGATGAAGTGTGGAATCTCGGAGTCCGAGGACTTTGATCTGCTGATGGGGACGGAATTGGTGTTCGCTGTAGGCATGAGAAGGATGGCTGAGCATCACGCGCGGAAGCTGAGAGCTGAGTTCCCGGACCTCCTGAGTGAGAAAGTAATTCAGGAAGCCATGAGCAGTACGGTGCACGATGTGAGTCAGATCACAGAGGAGCAGGTGGCCAGCTGGGGGCAGGTGGACCTGCTGGTGGCGGGATAGGAGTGTCAAGGGGTGTCATGGGCAGGAAAAGGGAAGGGAGGGGAGGACCCGAGGACGAAGCTGATGGACAACCTGTTCAATATCCTGGAGTGGCTGCAGGAGAGGCAGGGCAGAGTGGCTTACTTGCTAGAGAATCTGGATCTAGAAGGGGATTGTAGAGAGCCGATTCGGCTGGTGAGGGAGAGGATTGGCCGGCACGTGGGAAAAGGGATGAGCTGTGATGCAGCCAGGGCAGGGTCGTACGCTCACCGCCTCAGGATGTACTGGCAAAACGTGATTCCCGTGCTGGATCTGCAGGAGGAAGCAGAGGGGATGAGGAGGGCTACAGGGAGGAGGGTGGTGGACATCCTGGAGCCGGGACGGACTCCCGCGCCAGTTTGTCAAAGAAGTTACAGCAGGCACTACCCGTGCAACCAGGTGGGGCAGGACAGGAGGGCTCTGCCCACCTTGGTCGCTTTTGCAGAGGCAGCAAGCTACAGGTGGGAAAAGGGGGAGCCCGGACCCGGGCTGATATATGACCACAAGCGGGGACGGTGGGAGGAACCGACGGCATTAGAGAGGGAGCTGGCTATGGGATATGGAGAAAACGTGACGGCAGCACCAGGGGTGAGCAAGGAAAACAGGAGGAGGGCAATGGGGAATGCCATGGATGGCTACATGATGAGGTGGCTGGTGCAGAGGATGTGGCGAGAGATGGTCTTGGGTGGGGGGCAAGAGGCAGATAAGGTGGCGGCAGCAGCAGCCCCACAAGGAGCATGGACCTGCCAGGAGGAGGAGGGGGAGCCCGGACCCGGGCTGATATATGACCACAAGCGGGGACGGTGGGAGGAACCGACGGCATTAGAGAGGGAGCTGGCTATGGGATATGGAGAAAACGTGACGGCAGCACCAGGGGTGAGCAAGGAAAACAGGAGGAGGGCAATGGGGAATGCCATGGATGGCTACATGATGAGGTGGCTGGTGCAGAGGATGTGGCGAGAGATGGTCTTGGGTGGGGGGCAAGAGGCAGATAAGGTGGCGGCAGCAGCAGCCCCACAAGGAGCATGGACCTGCCAGGAGGAGGAGGGAGAGAAGTGGACAGTGGGGGAAGCGATGAGTGAAGAGGGAAGGGAAGCTATGCTGGGACTGCTGGCCAAGCATAGGAAGTGCTTTGCCTTCACACTGCAAGAACTGGGAAGGTGCAAAATGAAGGAGATGGAGCTGAAACTGAGCAGCACAGAGCCGGTGTTCCAACGGCGTAGGAAGATGCCGCACGGAGATGAAGAGATATGCAAGGAGAAGATTAAGGAGCTGCTAGCGGCCGGACTGATCCGGCGCTCAGAATCAGAATACGCCACACCAGCGGTGGTGGCAGCGAGGAAGGACTTAACAGGGGAGATCCTGAGCAGGAGGATGTGCGGAGATTACCGAGCGCTCAACAAGATTACCGTGGCGGACAGGTACCCAATGCCGATGGCGGAGGAGATATTTGACAAGTTAGCAGAAGGGGTGTTCTTCACGACGCTGGACCTGCGGCAGGGGTTCAATCAGATAAAAATCAGGGAGGAGGACGTTAGGAAGACGGCATTTCACGGGCCGGACGGGCTGTACGAGTGGCTTTACATGCCATTCGGGCTGAGGAACGCATCAGCAGTGTTTTAGAGAGTCATGGATGCAGTGCTCAGGGATGTAGAATGTGCAGCGTGCTACATAGATGACGTGGTGATCTTCAGCACCTCCGAACAGCAGCACCTGCAGGATGTGGAGAAGACACTGGCAGCAATATAAGCAGCGGGACTCACGTGTCACCCGAAGAAGTGTAGGTGGGGTGAGCAGACCGTTCAGTATCTGGGCTACGAGGTGACAGGGGGGCAGATCGGGATCCAGCAAGCAAAGGTGGAGGTGCTGGATAGGCTGCGAGAACCCAAGGACAAGACAGGGCTGAGAGCGGTGTTGGGGTTTCTGAGTTACTACCGGCGATTTGTGCCCAACTTCAGCAGGCGGGCAGCGGTGTTGAACGGACTGTTAAGGGAGGACAAGACATGGGAGTGGGGGGAAGCGCAGAAGGGGGCATTGCAGGACCTGATGGCGGCGGTGAAAACAGCAACCGTCTTGCAGCTGCCAGCAGCGGACCAACCCTTCACCCTCTACACCGACTGGAGCAGCCAAGGGATGGGCGGGATACTCTGCCAGAAGGTGGAAGGGGATGAGAAGGTGGTGGCCTACGCGAGTAGGAGCTGCAACTCGGCAGAGGCACAGTACAGCTCGTACACAGGGGAGGGACTGGCGGCAGTATGGGCTGTGGGGCACTTCAGGGTCTACTTGCAGGGGCGGGAGTTCACCCTGGTGACGGACCACCAGCCACTGACATGGCTGATGACTACACCAGGGTTAACAGGCAGGAATGCACGATGGGCAATGAAGCTGCAGGAGTATGACTTCAAAATCAAGCACAGGCCAGGAAAAACCTTGCAGCATGTGGACGGCCTCTCCCGTAACCCCCCACCGCTAGAGCCAACAGTGACCCTTGCGCTGCTGGCCAGACAGGTGGAGCTGAGCGGGGCCAGGAGGAGCAAGGGGCCGGCTGATATCTGGGAGGATGAGCAGGCTGTGAGATGGGTGAAGGGAGAGACAGGGGCAGACGAGGAGATGAGCGAGAGGGTGAGAGCAAGGGGGCACCACTACAGGTGGTACCAGCAGCAGTTGCAGATACAGACCGAGGGTGGGTGGAAGCTGGTGCCGGCCCCAGGTGACAAGGAAGCAGTGATAAAGGAGGTGCACTCAAAGCAGGGGCACTTTGGGCATGAGAGGACAGTGCAGTTGTTGAAGACGGGCTAGTGGTGGGAGGGAATGCGCAGGCAGGTGCAAAAGTGGGTGGAGGGATGTGAGGCCTGCCAAAGGAGCCGAGCAAACCTGACCCAAGCCAAGGCCGAGCTGCAGTCCCTGCCCATCCGCGGGTTAGGCTTCAGATGGTCCTTGGACCTGGCGGGAGAACTGCCGCTGAGCCGGGGGGGGAAACGGTACATAGTGCTCATGGTGGAGCACGTGAGCAAGTGGCTGGAGGTGAGGGCTATCCCCAGCAAGAGCTCAAGACATGTGGCAGCAGCATTCAAGGAGCAAGTAATATGCAGATTTGGGGCGTGTGCAGAGGTGCTCACCGATCAAGGCACAGAGTTTCAAAGGGAGTTCAGGGAGCTGTAAGAGG